TGATAAGAAGAGCTTGAACAAGCTCAATCGAGCCGCTGCCTATTACATTGACTTGCAACAAGTGTAAGGCTCTCTTATAGAAGACGTCAGCTGCGGCAGCTTTCTCGCTGGGAGACTCCTTTTTGCTAATCTGGCAACAGATTGCAAAGATCAAGTTCAAAATACAGTACAACAACCTCTGGTCAGTTTCTCGATCCTCACCAGTCCAAATCTTCTGATAGGCCAGCATAAACCGTTCCCGCTGGAGAAAAGGATAGAGGAGGTATACTTCGTTCCAGTACATTTCCATCATGTCATCTGCAACATGTCGTGGTGGAAGTACAAATAGTTCAGCAATCGACTGATCATGCTGGTTTTTCCTGGACTCAATCCGCGGACCAGGTATCTCATTGTAGAATGAGACCGCGAGTGTCTGGGGTGCGGACGAAGATAGCCTGGCCGCCATGGCGCTCTTTACTTGCTTCATGAAGCTAGCAGCGCTGGATGTGTCTTCGGAGTAGCTGTTCTCTGTCGTCCCTGTATTCCCCATGCCGTCGATCCCTTCAACACGTCCAGTGAAGGGGGATGAAACGTAGTCGACATGATCTTGCTCACGAGGTGCAGTCAGAGGTGGTGACAGCATAGTTTCGTGCCTGTTGGTATCTCCTGTATTGGAGCAGACCTCCACGTTTAATGGCGACCGCTAGACCAGTATTAGCTTTCACCACATAATTGCTAGCGACCGTCCCCAGAACCCACCGGCGGGCATGGATCGATGATGGCTAGGTTTTGGTTCAAGATTGACCCAGCATCGCCGTGGTGCGAGCTTCGTCGTGCTATATCTCGCTGTAGGGTTTCCAGTTGCTGGATCCTGGTCTCCAGGTGTGTCACGTATCTGGTTTTCCGTCCATCAGTTCTGTTCGCTCACGACGTATTCAGGGCTACGACTGACTCTGCAGAAACTCCAGATGGGCCCCTATAGGGGTAGACGCAGTTCGGGTGGGCTCTGCGACAGCGGCGACAAGCTCCACATACTGGAGAACGGTTAGCAGGTCCGACACGGGACGCTGAGAGGAACTGTGAACCTGGCTGAGCTCCGTCACAGCGGACCTTGCGCGCTCGACACTCTTCACAAGCAAGAGCAATCTTCGGCCTCTTAAGGCTTGGATTCTGGGCCTTAGACGAAGCACGCTTTCTGCTTCGGCTGGAGCCGACAACCCCGGATTTGGGCTTTTCACTCGCAACTGAGTCCGATGGTCCTGGGGAGTTCATCTCGCCTACAAGGGAGGATCGGAAACCCCTCGCTTCGATGAAAGGAGAGGTTACAACAGTTGCTCACTACTATTTTGTCAACAGCTGTTTTCCCCCAGTTTCAATATTTGAAAGAAGGTGAGCTTCTCATGGAGAGGGGGACGGCTCAGACCAGCTCGCAAAATGGCTCGCATCAAGTTAAGATACAGTCAGAATTTAGAAACTCGGATGTGTTCCGAGAGCTTAAATCAGCACTAGCTGCCAAGCCCGCCCCCTGGAGAAGCCAGGGTTTGTGGATTCGACCCTTTCAGGCATACGCATGTATGTGCCTGGTCAAACAGGAAGAGAGCATTAGAAATGAGCTATAGAGATGAATGTTCTTTGACCTCATACGAGAGTCATCAAATCCGTGACTCTCGGTCTGCGCGCATATTGTCCCCCCACCTGTTTGGACTGTCCCAGTTAAGCTAGGTAGGAGATCTCTTGCCATTGCGGCAACTTCGAATGCTAGGCTATTTGAAGCCTCTTCTGTCACAGGATAGAACTTCTCTTCCTTTTCAATCAATCAACTAATGGTCCCAGATTGGTTCAGCATAGTATCCGCATTGGCTAACCAGATGGTGCAATCATGTTTTCGGGACGTACAAGAAGATCGAATTCTTCTTCGCTCAGCGCATTGAGCTCTAATGCACTTGCTTTCAGCGTCAGATCATGTTTATAGGCATGCTTTGCAATCTTAGATGCCAAGTCATATCCCACTTTACCGCTGAGGCATGTCACGAGCATAAGGCTATCCAGATGTCAGGTAAAAGTGCATTATTGAAATGGAGAAGGCCGGGAGACGGCTATGAACCTCACCTCTGTCCCAATAGGTAACTGATGCGCTTCTTGTTTGCCCGGAGGCCCTCCAAGAGGTTCCGTTCAAAGCTCCGCATAGCATCGCTCAAGATGCGGACCGAGTGCAGAAAGTCAGAAATCAAGAGCGGCTTGAAAGCGTTCAGCTGAAATTGGCCACTCAATCCTCCTAAAGTTATGGCGGCATGGTTTGCCACGACTTTTGCGCAGACCATCGTCATCGCCTCACATTGAGTAGGGTTCACCTTTCCTGGCATGAAAGATGAGCCTGGCTCGTTCTCCGGTAAGAGAAGTTCCCCCAGTCCACACCGCGGCCCACTCCCTTCGAAACGGATATCCTGAGCGATCTTGAACAGGGAGCAAGCCAACGTGTTGAGTGCCCCGGAAGCATAGACAACAGCATCATTTGCCGAGATGGCCTCGAACTTGTTGGGTGCTGTGAAGAAGCGTCTGCCCGTCAGTCGACTGACTTCAGCAGCAAAGGCCTCATCGAACCCGTTGTACGTATTCAGACCCGTCCCCACGGCCGTGCCACCCATTGCCAAGAAACGGAGGCCCTCCAGCCCTTGCTCCACACGCTGGATGCCCAGCTCTAATTGTTTTTCGAACCCTGAAAATTCTTGCCCAAGTGAAAGTGGCACGGCATCTTGAAGGTGAGTCCGGCCAATCTTGACTATATGGGCAAATTGTTGGCTCTTTTTCTTCATGACATCTCGAAGGCTAGCCAGTGCCGGAAGCAAATAGTCCTCCAAGTCCAGAACAGCCGCAATATGCATAGCAGTTGCAAAGCCATCGTTTGAAGAGCCAGACATGTTGACATGGTCGTTGGGGTGGACGGGCTTTTTCTGACCGAGTGGCTCACCAAGGATCTCGTTAGCTCGATTAGATATCACTTCGTTTGTGTTCATGTTGGTCTGCGTTCCTGATCCTGTCTGCCAAACCACCAATGGAAAATGGTCTATTAGTTTGAGAGAAGCTACCTCCTCCGCCGCCTGCTGAATTGCATGCCCAAGTCTAGCATCTGTCTCAAGGTCTTTGTTCAGCTTTCCTATCCATTTTATCTCACCTAGCTTCCTGGCAGGGAAACGGAGAACTAGAACCATATCTAACTCACCTAGTGCACCATACTCCACGTTGACTTTTGCTGCAGCACCCTTGATGATCCCAAAAGCACGGATGACAGAGGCCGGCATGCGATCGCGATCCTGGTTGATGCGGAAATTCTGAAGTGAGCTATGCACCCACTTAGATGTGAGGATAACTGGATTCAACCAAAGGCAGGATTTCTGACCGTTGAGTTTGAGCGCCCCAGTATTTTTCAGATGGAACCTAATGGTAGAGCAACTTCAAGTCAGAGCATTCTTCATCCAAACATGAGCTGCATAGTATACACCTACTTCAACGGACCCCATTGCATCCGTCTCGATGCGTGTCTGGGCAGTGAGCATAATGGTTAGCCAATCCTGCTACTGGCATATGCGAGAAGAAAACATCTCACTGGTCTATTATTGTCCACCATGTCCATGCTTGGTTGGATATTGTCTATGCTAGCAACTAGCCTGATAAAACAAAGAGGTAAGATATCTGGTATAGTCTGCCAATGGAGTATATTCTCATCCACGAGTTCTGGGGGCAAGGCTGGGGAATTAATCTTCGGGCGGATACCGAGGATAACCCCAAGAACGAGGGGAAGCAGCCTTGGGGATTCGCTAGGCGGCGAGGAAACTTTGGGCACGACCCGGGAACTCTTCGTATGTTTGATTATCAAAGTAAATTCCCTCCGACATCGCAGCGTCTCAGCCAGCCAGTGCCCAGTCTATTATCTGAAAGTTCAGCAGTCATAGACAACATCAACTGCTTTTGTATGATCTAATGAGGCAAAAATCGTCACAAAGAGGTGCTCTGCGGCAGTTCCTCGCTGAGAAAGGTCAAGATCGTGTTTCATAGCTCAGAGGAACACGGCCAGTCCGTCGAGCAGCTCGATGAAGTGTTCCAGCAGCTGCAGAGCAACGCTTGATGCACTTCAATATGGCACGTAGGAATTTGCACCGTCAGCAATCTCTAGCATCGACGTCAGGATGATCTACCAATCATGATGCCTCATGCTAGGATTGGTGCTTGACTTTGATTTTGGGCCTCAGGCGAGGCCATGACAGGGAGATATACGTCGAGTGCAATTTTCGCAACAGATCCAGTCTCCAGGGAAAAAAATTCCAAGTCCGTCATGCACAGCGTGCTATGCCACAACAGGCTTAAACAAACCCTGCTCGTGATAAGGAACAGGAACGAGCGACTGAGGAAGAGTTTATCTCGACATAACATCTTTCGGTCGAGAGGAGTCAATCCTAAGAAGATTGCTCAACATCTCGCACCGCATCTGCAGGAATTAATTATCTCCAGCCTGCCTCTCAACTCGAACCACGCTACTTTACCATCAAATATGCGCTCTTCATAAGCAGCTGTCGGTCATGATCGAATAAATCTCCGTCTGGAAAAGATCCGGCCAAAGACATTGACTCGAGAGCATTGTCCTTTCTTCCCGAGTTCGGTGCAGTCGTCCCTGGGAGCAGATCCTCCTACAATGCTTGTGTGAATGAAAAGGTTGTCAAGTCACTGATTATGTCCGATTGCTATAGATGGAGGAATCATAAGACGTGTGCACCCATTTTCATGTATATCGATGCAGTTTCAACGTAATTAGGTAGGTATGACTGATATTATTGAGCATCACTGACTCTCGGTCGGACATGACCCGAGACTTCGGGCGACGCCGGAGCATTGTAGCTGCTACGAAGCTGCTTAGACGATAAGAGAAGAAGCGGATAGAGAAGAAAATAAATTTAAGGTAGTCAGACACTTTTGAACCGCAGCCTCTCCCTGTCGATTTGATATGTTCCGGAACGAAAGCACAAACCATGGCGACTTGGACTCATCTTAATCGCTTCCAAAGCCACAACAACGTATACTATGGCGATGCCATCTTCCCCAAAGGGAGCGATCCGACTGACGTAGTGTCAATTGCAGCAGCGGGAAAGCTACACGCCCATATCATCGAAGGCGATGGGAACCCCATTTCGATAACATCACCTGGAGTGAAGGGCACGGGCAAAATTGCACCGGTTGAAAAGGTTTTGAGCCCCATCATAAGAGAACAAGTGCCCATAATTCGCTGTATTGGCCTGAATGATATGAAGCATAGTGAGTTGCGTTGATCAACATCCTAGCAAGGGCAAATAGATTTTGATGAGGAAACACCCGTACAGTTCAGGAGGGTGGTCGCACTCCGCCGCCATACCCTTCCCTTTTCATCAGACCTTCCACATCATTGGCGTCTTTTGACGCTGAAATTCCCATTCCCAAGATTGCCCAAAAGACATTGGATTATGAAGGCGAATTGGTATGGAAAGCGCTATGCGTCGACAAGCTTGGAGAAAGAACCTGTAGTTTTCTGACTGACACGAGTCAGACAATTGTCATCGGTCGACCAGCGCGACGTAACTGAGGCCGAGTCGCTGGACTACGTAGCAGGGTACATTACTGGCAATGACCTATCGTGCCGAATATGGTAACGCGATCCCAAATACGCTGGCAATGTCCCTCAATGGTGCTTCTCCAAGGGATTTGATGGGTTTGCACCAATGGGACCCATGATCGTATCTCCCAAGATTTTGGCAGCCGCCGACAAACAATCGCTGCAGACCTTGGTTAATAGAGAGATTAGACAGGATTCCGAGACTTCGGATTTGTTGTTCGGTGTCAGAAAGATCGTATCATTTCTCAGCCAGGGGACAACGCTAGAGACAGGGACTTTGATTATGACGGGTACCCCTGCAGGTGTGGCTCTTGGAATGAAAGTACCAAAATACTTGACTGACGGAGATGAAGTTGAGGTGAATATTAGTAGCTTGGGGAGCCTCAGGAACAAGTTGAGGTTCATGTAGTAACAAAGGGAGTTGAAGCGCACGCTATCCTCGCTCACCCAGCGAGGCTGACAGCGACCAGAGCATGACACTTAAGGGTGCAGACTTCCTCGCCGCACCTCCATTCTTTCCGCTCACCAACTCCTCCTTCTCAAAATCATAATCGTAGTCGTCATGATCGCCCTTAAGCAGCGGATCATTTTCCATGCGCCCGGTCGGCGGGCCTTAACCGAACTAAAATGAAATGGACTCGGGTCTTCTGCCGAACATTGTTGTGCTGTTTCGGAGGCCAGATTACTGAATGCGTGCGGATCTTGGGATTGATAGAAATTCAATGAATATTTAAATTAAGCAAGGCAATGAGTTTAATACCCGGAAGTGCTTAGATTGATTTGTTGCAAGAAGCTTTTCGCGACGAAGCAGTCGTATGCAATCCAACATGAATCTCACCCAAACGAGCAAACCAACTATTGACACGACGGTTCTGAACCCGGCAGAAACGCTCTTTCGAAAACTCCCCGAACAACATGTCCAACCACTTTGGACGGCAATGCGAGCTATGGTCACTCCACAACCATCACCCAAGGCGGAAGTTGCAGTGTGGAGGTACAAGGATCTACGCCCGCTTTTGCTGGAGGCCGGCAAGGTTGTGAGCAGCGAAGAAGCAGAGAGACGTGTTCTAATGCTCATAAACCCTGCGCTGAGTGAGATCCTATATTCCTCGTGGCCAAGGACAGGGATGGAAAAGGCAGTGTATACTAATCAGAAATATGCTCAGGAGCACCATTCACTACCGACTCCATCTACGCGGGTCTTCAACTCATCAATCAAGGCGAGACTGCACCTGCTCACCGCCACCGGGCATTCGCTCTGCGTTTCATCATTGAAGGCAGTCGTGGCTTCACTGCAGTCGAAGGAGAGAAAGTTTATATGGAAACGGGAGATGTTATCTTGACCCCGCAATGGCAATGGCATGACCACGGCCATGAAGGTACCGGCCCTATGATCTGGCTAGACGGGTTGGACCTTCCTCTATACCATCAACTCCCGACTCACTTCGCTGAACCTTACAAGGAGAGTCAATATCCGAGCAAGTAAGTACCGCCGGTATTGAGCACTCCCAATCTTCGCCACTCGGCTGAGTGACGGAAGAAAGAGAAGCCAAAGCACTAACAGACTTCTTTTTTCGGGTTATCAATTCCAGACCAGCATCAAACAGCGCTCTTCGCTTCCCCTGGGAAGAAATGAAAGCAAGACTCGACGCCGACGCCGCTCCCTGGGCACTCCAGCATTACCGGAACTCCTCCGGCGACCACATCTCAGACACGTTGGGGGCACATGCAGAGAAGGTGCAAGCAGGACAACAGTCGACGCCCAGGAGAGACACCTGTTCATACATCTACCATGCCCACGCAGGCTCCGGCAAAACCGAGATCACGACGGCGACCGGGGCCATGAAGACGGTGCGTTGGGGACCGCACGACACCTTCGTCGTGCCCGCTTGGAGCCGCGTTGTGCATACGGCGGACAGCGAGCAGGATTCCTATCTCTTCGTGCTGTCAGATAGGCCCCTGCTTGAGCGCCTGAAGATGTACTCGATAGGGAACTAGACATCAAGTATATAACATTCTAGAAGTTATTATCAGCACAGTGGAAATATTAGGGTACATGCCGTCCTCTGTAACCATGTTCGGTCAATATGTAAACTATTCTCTTGAGAATTGCTGCAGATACCCCGGCATACGTGTCATGTCCAGCGTGTTTTCAAAAGGATAGGGCTTCACGCTTGGATCAGGATTGGGTATATAGCTGGATGAACTTAGCATGTACGTTGTAGATCCTCCTGGAAGTGTAGCGGCCCTTATCAACGAAGCAGAGCTATACATTTGCAATACTTATCAAGGAGTCCAGCGGTGCTAATACTTGATTTCTCTCACGTTGAAAACGGCTGCAGGCAGCCTCCTACTTTGTTCCGCCAGGGAAGGACCGCAATGCTGACAGTGTACGGGGTCGATGGTGGAGGTTGCGGTGTAAGCATCGGGTGGCGGCCGAGGATCTCACGTCTTGCAGATCATTGCCAAGCGGCCATTTGTAACTCTCTCATGAACTAGATGGATGGAAAGCTCGCTGACACGAAACTTCGCGTCATTGCGCGTGGTGGTTCCGTTTGTCGCCCGGAAATAGCCCTTGTTCTTCTGCTCGGGCGATCCGAGATTCTTTATAGAGGCGGCGTCGTCGGGATAGAGCTGACGATGTTGCTGAACCTGTCGCTACATAACTAGTAATATCGACTAGACAGAAGGAAGGGGTAGGAGCGTCAGCAAACTAGACATCACTGCAACGACACCGACAGATTCGAGGAGAACTGAAGGGTCAAGATGAACGTGGAATTAGACAAAATAGAGGTGCGTCTGTATCCCTTCGGTCGGTCAGACATGCAGGTTTCCTGGGACGGGGACAATAACACAAGGAACCTCTTTTAGATACCTGATTATCCTTCGGGATCATACAACTTTGTCCGCCGTCTCCGCAAGGAGAAAGAATTATCATTTCCGACGCCGATTAAGAGCAAACTTTCGCCTGAACCAGTTGCACCCACGACAAGGACGAGTGAAACACGAATATCGAATGAAACAAAGGGAACAACGGACCAGTCATGGGCAAAACTGAAAGTCGCTATTATCGGGGCCGGTGTTGGAGGTCTCTCGAATGCGATTGCCTTGTCTCAGATGGGCCATGAGGTGTCCGTCTACGAACAGGCTTCCGCTTTGAGTGAGGTGAGTCTCTCTACCGTGCTGGTTTGACGTCGTCTGTCTTGTAGCCCTCCGAGAGGAAGCGGTTGGATTTCATCAGCTCACGGGATTATGTAGGTTGGAGCTGGGATTCAAATTCCTCCAAATTCGACCCGCATCCTTCATTCGTGGGGACTTGGACCTGCTCTACAACGTCGTTCTGTCAAGCCCACTGCGCTTCTTTGGCGGCGTTGGGAGGATGGATCAATCATCGGAAAAGCCAGGCTCAATCCAGAGAGCGAGCAACGCTTCGGCTCGCCGTACTACGTGACCCATAGGGCACATTTGCACGAGGTTCTGCATCATCGTACGGTCGAACTGGGCGTTCCTGTGCATTTGTCCAAAAGGGTGCAGAAGTACGACACGCAAAATGGCGAAGTGACGTTTCCCGACGGCAACCTGATCAAGGCGGATCTGATAGTTGCTGCCGATGGTGAGACACGAGATCGAATTAGGACTTGTGGCCTGACAACTGACACCAGCTGCTGCAGGATTAAAGTCGACAGCTCGCGGAGAACTCAACGGTGCAAAAGACAAAGGGCCTTGGGGCCATGGGCTTTCTGCATATCGAGGAACAATCGCTGTCGCCGATATGAGGGCAGATCCTCTGACCAAATGGATTGTCGAACAGCCGAATCTGCATCTCTGGTATGAGATATTTGAGCGCCATGTTCAGAATTCCGAGAATATGCGTGCGCTGACTTTGGTGCTAGGGTCGGGCACGACCTACATGTGATGAGCTATGCTATAGCTGGGGGAGAACGCTTCAACTTGGTCGTTACTCATCCGCAAGATCCCAAAGAGGCGACGGAACAGCCTATGTCTCAAATACTTGAGGAGATGAGGTCACAATATGTTGGGTGGGATCCATGGTAAGTCCATTTCCCACAGCAAAATGTTCATCTCTGGCACCGAACTGCGCTGACTGTGAGATTGTTACACTCAAATAAAGCCTGAGGCGCCTCCTAGAGATGGTGACTTCAACGATAGACTGGCCGATCAACTGTATAGACATCCCTGATATCTGGTCATCTGAGTCCGGCAAACTTTTGATAACAGGTGACGCGGCTCACGCGATGGTTCCGTACATGGCGTTGGGGGCGGCCATGGCTGTGGAAGATGCTGCTGCATTGGCGGCCACATTGAAGCACGTCAAGTCGATAGAAGACCTTCCCGCAGCAATATCGAAGTGGGAAGAGTCGCGCAAACCTCGAGTAAAGAAAGTCCATGCAGCCAGTTACGGACATGGTCTGATATTACATCTTCCTGATGGACCAGTCCAGCGAGCTCGCGATGAAGCAATGAAGGCGGAGTTGGAAGGCACAGAGGTCAAGGAAAGCCCCAATCAGTGGAGTGACCCCGTTTTGACTGAGTGGGCGTATGGACACGATCCGGAGGCAGAAATTGACCAGCTGTGGTCGGCTGGTGAGGGAGTGTCATAGCCAAAGGGTCTTCGATGTTGAGAATAGCCATGGTGCTCACCGGGGTAATGCTATAATCAACTATGATATCGTATTCTAAGTGCTTCGGCTACTCTCCCGCTCTCTGAGCTTGGTTACATGAAGAGATGATGCTGCTGAGAGGAGAGATAGCTCAAAAGGCTGATAAACGCCGAGACGCTTGAATGTTCTCGCCGCACTTGCCTTTTGTAGAATGTCTTGGCAATGGTGGGCCCGCTCCGCAAAATTGTGCAGTTGAGGTTCGCGAAATTTTGGAGAGCTTTTCCATATTTCTTTCGAGGCACATCTAGTATCATAATATCTCCCACATATTCTAGAAGCGCGTGTAGC